TACCCTCTTTAATAAATGGTGCTGGAAAAACTGGCTCTCCACTTGCTGAAGAAGACTAAAACTAGACCCATGTCTATCACCATGCACTAAACTAATGTCAAAATGGATCACCGATCTAACCATTAAAACAAAAACACTAAATCTACTGGTAGATTTAGAAAATAGGTAGAAATCATGAAGACATAGGGGTAGACAGAGAGTTCATGAACAAAAACTAAACTGCATGGGAAACACTTCAAAGAGTCAACAACTGGGATCTCATCTTACTGAAAAGTTTTTGCACATCAAAAGTCACGAACGGGGCTGGGGATTTAGCTCAGTGGCACAGCGCCTGCCTGGCAAGCGTAAGGTCATGAGTTCGATTCCGGTACCAGAAAAAAAAAAAAAAAAGTCACCAACAGAGTAAAAAGAAAACCCATGAATTCAGAAAAAATTTTAGCCAATTGTCCCACAGACAAAGGACCTCTATTTAGGACATAAATAATTAAAGAAACTGGGATTGGTGGCATATGCCTGTAATCTCAGCATTCAGGAGGCTGAGGGAGGAGGATCATTGGGAGTTCGAGACCAGCCTGGGCTACAAAGTGAGCTCAAGGCCAGCCTGAACTTCATAGTGAGACCCTGTCTCAAAAAGCCAAAAATAAATAAATAAATAAGAATTAAAGAAATCAGGTTCCCAACATTCAAAAATCCAATCTGAAAATGAGTATCTAAGATGAATACACACTTCTCAGATGAAGAAATACAAAATGGCAAATACATATATGAAAAAATGTTCAGCATCATTAGTCATTTGAGAAATGCAAATTAAAACAACACTGAGATTCCATCTCACCTCAGAAAGAATGGCTGTCATAAAGAAATCAACCAATAACAAATGCTGGAGAGGCTGTGGGGAAAAAGGAAGACTTCTCCACTGCTGGTGGGAGTACAGATTGGTGAAATCAGTGTGGAAATCAGTGTGGAGATTCCTCACAAAACTAGGATTAGGGGTCCCACTTAACCCAGCTATTCCTCTTCTGGGTATCTTCCCAGAAGAATTAAAAACATCATACACAGTGATATATGTGCACCCATGTTTATAGCAACACAATTTGTCATAGCTAAATCTTGAAAACAACCTAAATGCCCATCAACGGAGGAATGGATAAAAAGATGTGGTATTTTCATACAATGGAGTATTACTTAACTATAAAAAAGATAAACTCAATGCTTTTATAGGTAAATGGATGCAACTAGAGACCATACTCATAAGTGAAATAAATCAGACCCACATGTATAAACATTGTATTGTCTCCCTAGTGTAAGA